GAGTGAGGGTCACAGCATCCTATTTAGGTGTCACCATCCCGCCTCTGGGGCCAAATCACAGCATCCAATGGCAACTACAAAACAGTGCCTTGGTCAGAAAAGGGGAGATGTCCCTCTGAAAGGGGAACAGAATACAGAGGGCTAGTCTTGGAGCTGAGAATATATGGTGTGGGACCAAGTACTGGGGCCCTGGGGCCTCACCCAGATAGTATTCAGTTCCCAGAACACAAACATTTCAGGTCCACTTCCCAACATTGTTGGATACACACACATTCACACACACAGAAACACTTGTTCTGCAGGGGCTGTTGCCAGGGGGAAATACCCCACTTAAGGACACAGTAAGAATGATCAGGTACTTGGGGCCCCAGGATACTGGGGTAGGGGAAGAAAGGAAGAGTAGCCAAGTGACACAGACTTGGGCAGGGAGCAGTGGAGCAGGGCCCAGGGAGAAGAGGTCCTGAGATTCAGGTAGGAAGCCTGGGCAGGCCTGGCTGCAGGACTGAGGCTTGCTATAGTGTCTCCTGCCTTCAGCAGGAAGGATTTTGATGAGATGTGCAGAATCTCAGAGCTGAAAGGGACCTGCTGATACTCTAGTCCATTTTACAAGTGAGGAGGAGAATTTCAGTTATTTCCTCAGAGGCCCCAATCCTTAGGCTCTGCATTTACTTAAACCCGCTGGCACCATACTCCCTACCCCATGCCATTTGGGGCTAGCAGTATGTGGGCATGGGAAGAGGAGAGTGGCCAATCTGGTGATAGAGGGGCCAATGGGGAGGAGGGGAGGGTTGGGAGGAGGGGAGGGTCCATGTCCCCTCTTAGCCCAGGTGACTAGCTCCTCTACCCCTCAAACATCCCTGGGTTGGCAGTTGTATCACTTTGCCCTGCAAAGACCAACAGTCCCTCTGTTTCCAGACTCCTGTCTTATAACTCAGCCTGAAGAAGCTGTCCCCAGGTCTGGGCCTCTTGTGGGCACTGCCAGCCTTAGAGCAGCTCCGCAGTTTCCAGCGCTGACAGGGACTCTTTCTTAGAAGTGGTCATGTGCTAGGGGTACAGGACGTCAAAGGAGGCCCACACCCTGACACTCAGGGACCAGAGCTGGGGGCAGGGACTGGGGTGAGTTCAGGCAGCAAGCTCCTCCACCTCCATCTTCTTAAGAGGGTCTGAACCCATCCATTCCCTTCCCCCACCCTCAGTTCAAGGCACTGGACCAAGCCATTCCACTTCTTTACTTCTCCAACGAAAACAAAACGCACATTGCCCCGCTTCCTTTTTCCTCTCACTGGAGCACTGCACACACACACACACACCCTGAGTCATGCACACGCACGCTCACATGCCCCAGTGAATGCACATCTCGTATTCTCAAACTCACACCCAGGGCCAGCTCCTTTTACAACAGGTCCCAGCCGCTCACATCTCAAACCGGTTCTCATGCTCTCAGATTCCTGAAGGTTTCAGAAAGCAATCTCATTTAGGGGTTGCTGATAACTTTCTTCTTTCTCTGCCTGTAGTAATTCTGGCCTCCGTGTCTTCTAGTCCTTTCTTTCTCATTCCACCCTGCAGAGACTCAAGGAGATGAGGGGTAAGAAGTGGAAAAGTTCTGCCCCGGCCTCAGGCTTTCCCCACCCCCTGGGGGACATGTCACTGAGAGAAGAGAGGTCAAAGGGATTCCTGAGGAATTTCTAAGCAGTCCACCCCACTTCTCCACCCTTCTGGAAAAATGAGGGGGGGGTGGGCTTAGAGGGAACTGATTGAAGATCAGGCTTCAAAGAGTGGGGACTGACTCTCTCTCTCTCTCCCCAGTGTGGCCTGGATGGGGCACGGGCAATAGCCAGCTGCCCACGGGGCCACCCTTACCCGCTGACACGGTTATGGTTTTCATTTCATATTTTGGAGGGAGGGGCTAGGAGGAACAGTCCCCTCACTGTAAGAGCTGGCCACAGGAGCCCAGGGAAGCGGGGAGGAGAGGAAACAGCCACATTAAAGAGGAAGAGAGGGGTGGGGGAAAGAAAGAGAGAGACACACATATACCCAGACAGAGACCCGGAGAGACGCACCAAGACAGAGAGACACTGTTTGCTGCTAGATGGACACTCTCAGTCCCAGGGATGGTGTTACTTGGAAACTCTAAATACACGACTTTATCAAAATTCTATCCCTAATGAGGAGAGAAAACAACCAGGTAAACTAAATGGCCAGACTGGCTCTCCCTGAGCCTACCCTGGGGACAAATTTTCCCCGGGACCTTTCCATTCAGCTGTAACCTGAGCCCTATGCGAGGATTAGGTCTTTTTAACCACTGCTGCACGTGTCCCCCCCCCCCCAAAAAAAGCAAAGCAAATTAATGCTTTTAAGTTAACAATTATCTTGGTTATCCAGTCTGTCTACTTTAAAATACACAGTCAGGCACTTGAAAAACACTCAAAACCATGTACCCTCATGCTCACTCACTCCCAGTTACACAAGCTTACCCACCCACTCATCCACACACAGTTCTCAGAGACACTAAAACATCCGTATTCATGCTTAACAACTAAGTAACAATAGACACAGACACCCAGCTATGTCACCTGTGGGTGATCGTGGTGAACCTCGCACGCGCGCACATGCACACACATGCACACTATGGGCTCCCTTCCTTGTCCCTCCCCTCCTTCCCATGCCATACCACTTTGTTCACCCCTGGGGAATCTCTGCAGAAGAGGGACAGAGACTCTGTGCAAGATACTTGCCAAGGGTATTTGTATTTTAAAGACCTTCATTTAAAAGCATGTGGCGTTAGAGGCACACTTTCTGGCACTGGTGATACCTAGGAGATACATTTGGGAGCAAAGGATGTCCACAGCATTCTGTCTATGGGTAAGGCTGCCCTGCCTGGTCAGTACTTGTCCTTTCTGCGGCATTGGCCTGCAGATTTAGGTCCAGAGACATCCCTCTAACCCAGCAAACTTGTTGTTAGGCAATTTCCGGCAGACCAGGTTGATAAATTTCCTGAATAGCAGGGTCAAAGGCAGCTGAAATAACAGGCTTCAATTCTATGCCCCGCTAGACTCGGGGATCAGAAGGAAGGAAGATGCAAAGCTAATTACAGCCCAATCAGAGCAAGTGTGGCTCGAATATGGGATAAGCAGTGAACAAAACTGTTAGTCTATAAGTTCCTTGAGGGCAGGGGCCTCCACTCGGGCTGCATTTCCCCCACAGCACCCAACAGGGTGTATGATGACAGAGGGAGCTCTGGAGTACCTTGGAGGGATTCTGAGTCCTGTCCCTGAACCATGGGCTGATCTCCTAGGCTTGAAAGCCTTGGCTTGATGGCACCTGTCCCTCCTAGGAGTCTCCATCTGCCCCAGGAATCCCCTTGAATATACTGCTTGCTCCCCCTTTTGCCCCCAACGCCCTAGTCTCACTAGACCACTACAGACACTGGCTCCAACTTGAAAGAGGCCCTTATCTTGTCTCTAGATTACTGCATGAAATCTGTTCCTTCCTTCAGACTAAACTCCCTAGCTAATTCCATGTTATGAGTAAGTCAGCACGCACTACAAAAGCCAGCTTTGTTTATGAAAACACAAGCAAATCCACAGGGGAAGAGGGGCTGCTCCCAGTCTAGGGGTGGCAGTGGGAGTGGGCTGTCTGGAACCAGAACTGGAGAAGAGGCAGTTTGGGGTTGGAAGGGGGTGGGGTGGGGTCTGGTATTTGACAGCTGAGGCTCTCTAGTGTTTAGGTTCTGTTGAAGGACAGGTTGGAGGAGGAAGGGGGTAGTTATAAAGAGGCAGTGTTTTGGGAGAAGAAGATAGTATTGATATAGCACCTTTCTTTTAACAGAGTGGAAGCCCATCCAGTACCCAGAGCAGCTTAAGAGCCAAGCGCTCAGGCTCCAGGACACAGTGACCTGACTGCCAGAGACTCAGGCTTCCCCAACTCCCAAGTTCAACTTTCCCTTCTGGCCCAGCCACCTCCACATCCCAGCTTGGCTTCAGGAGCCCCTGGGACAATAGGCAGAATCATATCCTCCTGGGCAAAGCCTTGCCAAGAGGAATTTTCTTTTTGTCCACATAAATCTCTTCCTGGGTGAGGACATGATGGGGGAAGGGTGTAGCAAGAGGTCAAGGGGGAGGGGAGGCTGTCCCAAGAGTACTGTAGCCCACCAGCCTGGTTTCTGCCAGCACAGCCTTGGGACTGGCCAGGCAATGAGCCTGGGGTCAGGGATGGGGGCAGGAGGGCCTCTCTGTCTCTCTCTTTAATTCCTAGAGGAATCTGTCAGAGTTCTCCGGCCTGGAATTTTACTTTGTTATTTTAATGCAATTCTGACCTGGATTTAAATGGAATTGGAAACCCGAGGCCTTAATAAATAAATATTATGATAAGAAATGAAAGCCATGCAAGACGAAAGAGATTTCCCCCCAAAGAGGGAGAAACGCGAAATTCTTGCTGGGAGCCAGAGTCACAGAAATTTTCTTCTCTTCTTCAGCGCCCTACTATCCAGTGAGAGACGAGTTGGTTTGTACATAAAAGATCCTATTTTTCTACTGATAAGACAACTTCGAAATTTCTCACTTTGCATGAGGGTTGGAGGTCAGGGGAAAAAAATATATGGCATGGCTGAAAAGTTTTCATTCCCAGTTTCGCCAGGCCACAACTTAAGTTTCTGGCAATGTTGGAGAAAAGACTGTCTCTCATACTTTTGGAGGACAAGAAGTCTTTCGAAGATGCTGGGGTGGCAGGGGAAGTCGGGCAGAATTCTGAGATGCGTGGTCACTTCTGCCCAGGGCCCCCCAACCTTCTCACTCATCCGTGCCGCCCCTAGTTCCTCTAGCCTTTCGCCCGGGGCGCAGCGCCCAGAGGTCAGGTCCCCACCCGGGAAGTACGGGTGCAAAGTGCCCGGTCCTGACAGCAGCACGCTTCTCGGCACCTGCCCTACCCCTCGGAAATCGCGCCCCCGCCCTCGGGCCCCGCAGCCCCTGCAGCCCCGCGGCCACGCGCCCTTCCTTCCTTACCTTGCGCGGCTTTGCTGTGCTGGGCGGCGCGGGCGTGGACCAGCAGGACGAGCAGACAGAGTCCGGGCACGAGCCCCGAGCCCATGGCTGGTGCTACCGGTGGCCGGGGCCGGTCTCGCAGTCCGGGGAGGGCGGAAGCGGGCCGGGCCCCCGCGCGCCGGAGGGGGGAGGGGAGAGGGCGCCCCACTGGGGCCGGGCCGGAGGCTGCGGGCGCGGGGCACGGACCGCGGCGCCCTCGGCGGGAGACTCCCGATGCTGCCGGCTTCTCCCGGCCCGACGCCGGGGAGAGCGAGGCGAAGAGAGCGACGAGGCTGGGGGCGCCCGGCGCCGCTGACGGAGGGGAACCCCCGCCCTCTCCAAGCCGGGTTCTGCTAGCGGCGGCAGCGGGGCTGCTTCGTATAATCCCACCCAATTCCCAGCCTCGCCCGGAGAGAGCTGGAGCCGGAGAGCGCGCAGAGCCCGAGCGAGGGACCTGAGAAAGGGGAGGGGAAACGCAGCGCCAGAAACACGCCCTTTCTGCCTCTCTTTCTTCCTCTCTCGCTCTTTCTCCGTCTCTCGGGCTCCGTCTTTTTCTTCGCCTTTCTCCTCCTCCTCCTCTTTCTCCTCCTCTCTTCGCTCCTTTTCGTTTTCTTCCTCCTCCCCCTCCTCCTCCACCACCACCTCCTTTTTCTTGCCCTTTTTTCTTTCAAATGGGGCCTCGGCGCGGCGGCCGCTCCCCCTGCGCGCCCGGGCGCGGCGGCCCCCTCCCCAGGCTGCCGGGCCGCTGCCTGCAGGAATTTACAATCCGGCGCTGGGGGAGCGGGCCCAGTCTCCATGGAGACGGCTTCCCCGGGAGCAGGGAGGTCAGGCGCAGACCGCGCACAATCAATGGATCAATGCAAGCCCCGCTCGGCTCCAGACCAAACAGCACCGGGCTGCGGCTCGTCCTCTCTCGCCGCGGAAAGAGTGGGGGAGCTAGGGTGCGCCCCCGCGCTCGCACGCGAGGAGGGCCGTGCGACGCAGGTTTGCACGCACACCTCCACGAGGAGACAAAGAGAGCGCAGGGTGTCAGGGAGGCTGGGGCGGACGGGAACGCACTGGCACTCAGGCATGCCTGCCGACACAGCCTGACACGCGGGACATAGACACATAGGACCTCGAAAAACTGAGAGCGGCTCCAACAACCGGCCGAGTAACGTCCTCCGAACTCTTACCTCCACCAACACCCCTACCCTCTGGACTCAATCTCCATTCCCAGTGCTGAGCCCACTTTAGTTGAGGACCAAGAAGAAAGCAGCCTTCCGCTAGCTAAAACTGCTGGCTCCAGGGCAGACTCCCTTGCAGTTAAGGCCTTGGAGGTAGCCCACTGAGCCACACTACCCGTATAGACCTGGGCTCACATGTAAAACACTGTTATGAGCTCAGCACAGGGGCGAAAACTAACCCACAGAAACATGCCTATGTGTGTAAACACAAAAGATATGCACAACACACTCCTCCAAAACCTGCCCTCACAGCTTCAAGAGGTGGTCCTGACCAGTCCATTAAGCCTTCATCCCTCCAACTGCAGGGGCAGCAGAGGAAAGATAAACGATATTTTAAAAAATAGGGGCAAAGTGTGCCAAAGGAGCGGTGTGCCTGAACCTGACACATTTACCAGCTCTGCATCTTCTCTGCTTCCATCCAAGGGGAATGAGGAAAGACCTCTTGAAAGGCGGTGAGGGCTTTCTTGGAGTATGCGGCTTTGGTCAGACTGAGACTATGCCAGGCTCCACGCAGTTACTTATTCTTCAGAGCCAATTTTCTGCAGGGAAGACACCCACACTAACCTCACAGAGCCTTCAGGGAACCAAGGGGGAAGAGACAATGACCAGAATCTCTCTGAAAATAACTCAGTTCTTAGGCCCTTGACACTGGCAGCCCACATCAGCTGGGGTGACAGGTGGACTTTGTCAGAGGCCTCCTTAGGCCCTGGGGAGAAGAACTGAGCCCTTTCTTCCCTAGGGATTGAGTGGAAAAGTAGGAGGATGGAAACAGACTCAGGGATGTGGGTTTCTTGTCCCGACTGTATCCTGGGATGAAGATTACCTTTGGGCAAGTCACATCTCAATGGGCCTCAGTGTCCTCATCTAGAAAACAAGAGGGTGGGTTAGCTGGCTAATGGAAAGGAGACAGCGCTCTTAGGAAACCTGGGGGAGGAGGCCTTGAGAACTCCTGCATGGCGTGAGAGATAATGGTTGGGATGGGACCACATAGATCATAGGAATGGTGTGGAGGCCACAAAAAGTTTGGGTCAGATAATCTCCGAGGTCCCTTCTAGCCCTTGTCACTCTAGGATTCCCTCCCTCCTTCATTCCATTGGCAAACCCCTCCCCTTGAAGCAGCTTTGCCTGCTGCCACCAATTATGTGTAGGGCTGGAGGACAAGTGCAAACTTGCCATCCTCTCTGCCCTAAACAAGAGAGTGGTTTTAAAAAAAAAAAGAAAGATTGGAGGTTGCCAGACGGTGCCTGATCCCCATGGGGGCACAGGGAGAGAGCTGAGGAGCCCCCAGCACAGGGAAGGGAGATTGCACTGTGCCTTGCTTTGTCTCTGCCTTGCTTTGGACACTGGTGTGAGCTCCTCTGGGTCCCTAGGGAGGAGAGCTCCAGCCCACTCTCTAAACCACAGGTAAGGTGGGCATGGAGGACTGTAGGGGCAGATTAATAGGTTATCTCAGACCTTCTCTCCAGTTCAGTGTGATTTCCTGGTCCTCTGAGTGTGGGCATTGCCCTGGTGTAGGGGGAGGGAGGCTTGGCTGGGTTGCCCCACCTTAGCCGCTCTGTCTCTGGGAGGCTCAGTGTCTTTTACTTTGGTTTCCTTTTTTTTCTCATTTTGTCAGCTTTTCCTCTGTTCATTTCCTCTGATCTTCTAGGACCAGGTGAACTTCCTGCACATCTGGGCAGAAGAGACAGTTCCCTGCCCTGCTCCCCACCATCAAATCTGGTTCCAGCCCACCCCCAGCCCTTCAGAGGATTCTACAGGAGCAGAAGCAGGGCTTATGTCATTGAGCCACTGTGAATTGGGGTGCTGGTCACATTGCCCTATGTCCTGTCCACTTTGCAGGGACTCACAACCGGACTCAAGAAGATGACAAGGAAGGAATAACAAGATGGCTCTTGCAAGTGGTATTACAAAAGCAGCAGTACATACCATACCCTCACTGGCAGGGGCAAAATGTCCCTGGGTTCTCTGGGCTTCCTACACTCACCTCTCAGGCTGCAGTTCGCTTTTGGGCTTCACTTTCCTTCAGGGATGCTTCTAACATTCATTTCATTCTAATTTCTCCTGCAAATGTCTAGAGAGAGGACTGGGCTGGAGGGCCCATAGCTGGTAATATATCGATTCTGATGCTGCTTAGGGATACCTCTTCCGGGGCTCCACAACACTCAGGGACTTACCCTCCTCTACCAAGTCTCCTTCCATGATCCTTTGCTTTTTCTTTCTGCTTCTTAGCTTCCCCATCTGTGAAACGAGTCCAGTGACCCTACCTTGACAGGCAGAACTTGTACATGTTGGAACTGGATTACCCCAAGGCCAGTGTCAGGCCCTACCATTTCCCAGCCATCAATCTATTCTTGATGAGTTATTTCATTTTTCTGAGGCTCAGCGTCCTCATCTAGAAAATGAGGATGGTCATATGACCTCAAAGGTGAGGCATACATCACTGTCTAACTATGTGGGGCCTAGAGTAAAATAAACCTGCCGTTCACGTCTCAGCTGTGTGGCTTCAGATAAGGTTCTCAATCTCAGTGAGCTTCAGGTTTCCCTTCTGACAAAGGGAATAAAAACACTCACCTCATAGGGTTATGGTGTTAAGTGAGATAATGAATGAAAACCCCTGGCACATAGTAGGTATTCAATAGGTGGTGGCTATCGTTGTTATTTCTACTACTTCTGAGGAGGAACAAAGCCCACAGTGTGTGATAGTAAAGGTATGGTAGTGCTTGGGAAGAAGGAGTCTTGTCCCAGGCCAGACTTTGATGCCACTAGGTGTGAGCACAGCCTATGCCCAATAGGTTCCTGTCGGTCACACATTCCTACCAAGAAGCTTCCAAAAATGCCATGCATTCCAGTGCACTGCCTTTGTCAGCAGCACTTCCAAGGTGGAGAGTTAGAAGGAAACTCACCTGCCAGGTATCTGGAATCCCTCTTTTCCTACCACCTTGCATTCCTACCTTGCCTTCAGAAGGCACAGACAGTCTGAGACACAAATTAAAGCTCATAGCTACCATTTACTGAGTGCTTTCTATGTGCCAGGTACTCCACCACAATCCTATTAGACAAGAATTGTTATCCCATTTTGTTGATGGGAAAACTGAGGCTCAGGTGGGTCAACCTACCCAGATGACTGACTGAGAAGAGACAAAGCTAGGACATGGGCCCAGGCCTGATTATGAAGCTTGTGTACCTCCTTCATTCTCTACACTGCCTCCTCTGAATCCACAGAGACCTGACACGTTCTTGTCACTGTTACTCTTTAATCATTTGTGTCAGGCTGGGGGTCACAGACTAGCCCCTTCACACACAAGAGGTAGTAGGGCAGTACCCTTGCACTGGAGGATCGTACAGGAGTAGAATTCAGACTTTAGAGGTCACCTTTGTCTGATGATGAGAGGTCACATGACTTGCCCAAGGTCACACAACATATTTAAGAGGCAAAGCTAGAAGCAGAATCCATGTCTCCCCTGACTTCTGACTCCTGGATCAATGCTCCTTAGCCAGTACCCTCAGAGCTGCCAGTCCCCTCTCTTCCTCTTCCTGATGATTTGGTTAGTCACGAATCCTTCCATCAAGTGGCATATGGTACTTATCTCACACCTTCCACCCAACAAACACTGTCGTAGGCCCTCTAGGGTGTACAAAAGGAATAGAAAACGTGATTCCCGCTCAGAGAGATATATCAACACCAGTGTATGGTTCCAGACCCTTCCGCATCACAAGGCAAACCCCCCAAATGCCCTGAGTCTTACCGGGAAGGCAAGATTTGTACAAGCAGAACAGAACATTTGGAGGCGACATCAAGCAATCCATACAGAAAGTGCCACACAAACTCGGAGGAAATAGAAATCCATCATCCAAGAAGGCTTCAGGGACGAGGAGGGACTTGAGATGAATCTTTTTTTTTTTTTGTGAGGAAGATCAGCCCTGAGCTAACATCCACTCTAATCCTCCTCTTTTTGCTGAGGAAGACCGGCCCTGAGCTGACATCTATTGCCAATCCTCCTCCTTTTTTTCCCCAAAGCCCCAGTAGACAGCTGCATGTCATAGTTGCACATCCTTCTAGGTGCTGTATGTGGGACGCGGCCTCAGCATGGCCGGAGAAGCGGTGCGTTGGTGCGCGCCTGGGATCCAACCCAGGCCGCCAGTAGCACAGCGCGTGCACTTAACCGCTAAGCCACAGGGCCGGCCCCCTTGAGGTGAATCTTGATGACACTCAAACAGAAAGAAATAGATGGACAAGATAGAAATATAAACAAAAATCAGTGATTGACAGATGGAGAGAGAAAAAAAGAGAATAGTCAGAACAGC